TGTGAGTTGAAATCAACTCGGTGGCAGTGGGTATAACTGTGGTTTTAATCCTGCTTGAGAATGGGCTTTCTCTGCTAGGAGGCCATATCAGTGTAGGGAGAGTTTTAGACGGGTTCCCGTTGGGATCTGAACAGAACAGGTGAAGACACGGATGCACAGGGGAGGCCAGAGACCATGCCACAGGAAGAGCACAGGGGAGGCCAGAGACCATGCCACAGGAAGAGCACCGGGGAACAGAAGCTGAAGGACAAGGGCCTGATTGCAGAGCCAACCGAGACAGAAAGGCTTCTCTGAGAACTGGGGCCTGGAGTCCAGACTTCCCGCCTCCTACATGGGGAGCGAATACATTTGTTTGAATACATCCATTTGTGGTATTTCTTTTGTAGCCACGCCAGAAATCTCCCCAGAGCACGGAATTACTGTACCCCAAAGAACTAGTCAACAATCCACCATTTCAGGAGGTGGCACATGAGCAAGAACCAATGGTGCTGAAGGAAGACGTTCAAGCTGCATTGAAAGCATTGGCCAAAACCAAGGCTGCAGGAATTGTTCAGATACCGATTGAAATGATTCAACAAGCGATGAAGCATGGAAAGCATTCACTTGCCTATGTCAGGAAATTTGGAAAAGCGCTATTTGCATTGAAATAGGCTAGTCTACATTCTAAAAGTAGTGTTTAAGATTCATTGGGCTTCCCTGACCCAAGGAGTTCTGTTTTTCTAGAAAACTTGTGTATTTTCAGACATCCTTTCCTTCCACATAGCTTCTTCCTCTATTTCCTTTTCCTTGGAACTCTGATTTCATTTATGTTTCGTCTGTCTCACTCCAGTCGAGCTGACTCTTACACTTTCAATCGAACTGACATTTATTACGGAAAAGAGAAATTTGTTTTTATTTTAATACTGTATTCTATGCTTCCAATTTTGCCTTTAGCATTGTCTAAACTTTTTGATTTTATTGGCTTTTCCCTTTTAAGTATTTTATATCACTTCTCAAGGGTCTATTTACTTCATATCTACCTGAAGTCATATGGTTTTATGGATTATATGGTCTCATTCTGTCTTTGTTCATTTATTTGCTCCTTTGAAAAAAATAAAAACCCTGCTTTCTTTAAATATATTAATTATTTATTTTCTATTTTTTACCTGATAAGCATAAAACCTGACATCTTTGTGTCTAATTCTGTTGTCTGCTATTTTAATTCAATGTGTATTTATTTATTTGACACTATGAAATGTTCTGTTCCTTGGAACATAGGCATTCCTGAGTCCTCGGTAAGAATAAAATGGCTGTGTGTGTGACCTCCTCCCTGGGGGACAGACAACCAAAAAGTGGGTGAAGGGAGACATCGGACAGGGCAAGATATGACAAAATACCCATTTATAAACTATCAAGGGCTCATGGGGGAGCAGGGAGGGAGGGGAAAAATGAGGACCTAATGTCGGGGGTTTAAATGGAGAGAAAATGTTTTGAGAAACGATGTACAAACGTGCTTTACACAATTGATGTGTGTATGGATTGGGATAACAGTTGTATGAGCCCCTAATAAATAAAATGTTAAAAAAAAAAAGAATAAAATGGCTATGGAAAACTATAAAAAGACAACAAAAACCTCCGCAGAGTTAGAAAAGAAAGACTTCACTTTGCATACGTGATCACAACATTCCCTTGCTGTTCTTCAGGATAAATCCCAAACCCCAAACAAGCAAACACCTCACTGCCATCGAGTCCATATGACTCATAGCGGTCAAGGTAGAATGGCCTTTGTGAGTTTCCACGACTGGAACAGTTTATGGGAGTAGAAAGTCCCACCTTCCTCCTTTGGAGAATGCTGGTGGTTTCAAACTTCAGACCTTGCAGACCACAGCCCAGTGTGTAACCACCGTGCCACCGGGGCTCCACTCAGTTCTGTCTTACAATGTGGGAGTGGTGTGGGGCTGGGGGTGGTGGGGTAGGCAAGCCCATTCCTATTCCACCGTCCTTAGATGTAAACTGGAGCCCAGGGCTAATGTGTGTGAGCATTCACCTCTAAACCAGCATGTTTGGAAGCAAGAATGGAAGGGCAAGGGGTGAAAAGCCATTCATTGAAACCCGTCTCTGTCTTTCCAGTCTCGAGTTTTGCTTCTGAGTTCCTGTCACCTGGGCCAGGGAAGACGTAAGCCCAGGCCATGCCCAGCCCTCTCAGTGTCCTAACAGGTACAGGAGCATCTCCAGCCACATTGCCCCAAGGCCAGGCCGGGGCGAGGAGACAGGTAAAAAGGGAGGAAAACAGCTGTGAAAGCAGGGGAGCAGTTCAGGCCCAGCGGGTCCCAGGCTCTCACACGTCCAGTGTGAGATCAGAGCCCAGCACAGCGTCGGCCAATCGTCTTCATGAGCAGGGTGGGAGAGTCTGGATACTCTTGGTTTCTAGCAATCCAAGTGTCCGGTGTTCTTGAAGACCCCACGGATTTCTGCTGACTGGAATGATGATCATTTTACAGAAGGGGGAAAAGAAAGATGTGTTTAGGAGTTCTTAACCATGATTTCCCACGGCAAGAAGCCAGGATAGGGTGAGAGGCCTGCTGGTAGGAGACTCTGAAGATGGGTCTGAGGGTTTTCCAAGTGTGTGTGTGTGTGTGTGTGTGTGTGTGTGTGTGTGTGTGTGTAAGAGAGAGAGAGAGAGAGAGAGAAATGCAGCGACAGAGACAGAGAGAGGAGGTAAGAACACACCCTCACATTTCCTAAGGCGTCCCTGGGTGGTGCAATGGATGAAGCCGTTGGCTGTTGATGGATCACATGGCAGGACGGGGTGAAAAGCCATTCATTGTCCACCATCTCTGTCTTTCCAGTCTCGGGTTTTGCATCTGAGGGGTGCCTTCCAAGAAAGGCTGGGCAAATCTGCCTCCAAAGGTCACAGCCAGGAAACCCTGCAGCGTATGGGGTCGACTGGAGTCGGGATCGACTCCGTGGCAACTGTGTTTTGTTTGGGTCTAACATGCCCCAGGCTCGCTGGCAGAGCCCCAGACGCACAAACCATTTCTGATGGGGGCTGTTTGGGCCTTTGTCTAGACCTGCTTCTGTCAGAGATGGATCTGCCAAGCCCCGGTCTAGACTCTCCTACTTCCTTTCGGCAGACTTCCCTGCTCAGCCCAGCGGAGGTTGTGAAGACTTACCTTTCAAAGTACTGATACACTGCTTCTCAGAAGGCAGAGGGAGGCGTGGGGGCCCAGGGACCAGGGCCTCCACCCGCACGCAGTACAGAGTGTCCGGCTCCAGCCAGGGGACCACCAGGGAGCCGTTGGCCACACACTGCCACCACTAAGAGGGGCATGACAAACAGCCGTTAGCGCCTCAGACTTCAGGGACCAGCCCCAAGAAGCCAGTGTCAAGCCTGGTTAGGTCATTTGCGAAACCCGCAAGTCTCTTTTCAGGAACAACTTTAAAATGCACTTTTCCTTTAGCTCCGTTGTGTGGCTGGGAAAGGAATGGGAGCGATTCTAAACACATGAACCTGGGAGAGCTGGAATGTGAGAGGCCTGACTAGCTTTTCTGGGTCTTAAAAAATCTCTGCTTTTGACAGGTTGCCGCCTTAACACCTCGATAGCACTTGTTTTCTCTCAGTCTCTCTCGCTCTCTTTGTCTCTCACTCACTCTCTTGCCACTGGGTCCATGCTGATTCGTAGCCACTCTATAGGACAGAGTAGAACTGGCCCTTTGCGTTTCTGAGACTGTACATCTGTACAGCAGCAGACAGACCCATCTCTCTCCCTCAGAATGGCTAATGGGTTTAAATAGCCGACTTGGAGGTGAATAGCCCCATGCTATTCGACTATACTACTACTACTAAGACTGTACTATACTACTAACCCTCCTCACCACTGTTTCTCACTGCCATGAAGTCAATGCTGACTCATAGCAACCCTATAGGACAGGGTAGAACTGCCTCTGTGGGTTTCCAAGAGGAAACTCTTTATGGGAGTAGAAAGCCTCCTTTCTCCCGTGAAGCTGCTGGTGGCTTGGAATTGCTGACCTTGCGGTTGGCAGCCCGATGAGTACCCACTACATCACCAGGGCTCCTATCCCTTGTTTGTAAAAAAACAAAACAAAACAAAAAACCCCAAACTCACTGCCTCGGAGTCAATGCTGACTCACAGCGACTTCCCTGTGGGGGTTCAAGATGATAACCATTTACAGGAGTAGAAAGCCTGGTCTCTTGCCCACCAAGCTGCTGGTGGTTTCTAACTGCCAGCCAGGAGGGTCGGAGACCATCTCGTGACCACTACACCTCCAGGGCTCCTGTCACTTGTGTTAGTGAGCAACATTTGAGTTTTCCTTCTCTGATGGGGTTCAGCCTTAACAGGCTTTGCTTTTGCAACGCTATTGCAGCAGCATATTGGTGACTGTGCTGATTGAACTTGGTCCTCCCTTTTTCGAACTGCCAGGTGATTTGCAAAGTCCAGCCTCGTGAAAGGAAGCAGGCAGTCAGCTCCGCTCCAGCAGCCACACCGCCTGTGCTTCCAGAGCACAGTAGAGAACTTCCGAGGCAGCTCTTCAAATCTTCTGCACACGAGCGTCACCTGGAGCTCATAGGACACCTCTTTGGAGTCATACATCTTCCCAGGCTCACATGCTAAGCATCACAGCCCGGGAGCTGCTTGCCCAGTGTGGGTTACCGAGGGTAACACACATAACTCGAAGGTGGGCTGCCCGAGCCGGCGCCAGGCTTACCATTCTGTGGGATTGGGGGCTGTACATGGACACATTGTACACCAGCGCCGGGTACACCTGCTGCATGGACACAGCACCTTCTTCCAGAGTTCTCCTCCACTTCTCAGAAGCCGTCAGAACCACGGAGATGGACTTCTCACCAGCAGTCAGGGCAACAGCTGGTGGACCGATCTGTGCTGATGGGGCAGGGAGGGCACACAGTCATTTCATGTTCAGGTGTGAAAATCTGCCTTAGGTAAACTTGCGAGTTGATGACGATGTCATCCCACCGAGGTCAAAGTCCCCGGACTCACCCCTTCAGATGAGATGCTGGAGGTGGGCTCAGGCTATGCCAAATCTTGAAACCATCATTGCACCCACTCTGACATGCGAAACATTATGATTCAAACCCAAGCCTTAGATTGCGTAGTTTCTCATCACACGGACAAGCAGGGATGGCCTTGATAACGCTCGTGGACTTGAAAAGTTGGTGGTCACAAACAGGGCTAGGACTTTACAGGTATAAAAACCAAGCAGGCACAAATCAAGAGCCGCTAAGGAGCCCTGGTAGCATAATGAGTTATACATGAAACTGCTAACCAGCCGGTCAGAGGTTCAAACCCAGCAGCCGCTCTGTGGAAGAGAGATGAGACTGTCTGCTCCCCTAGAGATTCAAAGGCTTGGAAACCCAAAGGGGCAGTGCTCCCCTGTCCTATGGAATTGCTGCGTAGGATGGACTTAATGTGCTGGAAATGATCGAGAAGCGGAACCAGCCAGCTTTGACCACAAAGGGGTGGGTGGCCCATGGAAAAGAGGCCATTGTTTTACTTACTTTCCAAGTATGGGTAGAACCGTCCCGTTTCTGTCCATTTGGAACAAGTTGCTTTCCTACTGGCCTTAACCCTGGCATAATATTGGTGCTCGTAGTCGGAGGTTTCAGCCGAGAGGTCACAGTACGTCCTGTTGGATTTCCTGCACTCGGGTTTGTCTAGCCATTTCTTCTGGCCATATCTGTGAGGGCAGAGATGACGAATTAACAAACAGGTGCCCCTTATACCTTACCATTAAAGAAATAGAACAAAAGCCAGTCATTACATAAAACTGAATGGAGCTTAAGCACTTCTCTTCTGCAAAACAAGTGCCTGTCATTGAGATTAAAAGGAAGGGAAAAAAAGAAATGTCTTTTTGCCGCTGGCAATTTTGTTCATTAGCTGTCAGGAACATGAGTCAGAGTTTCTGTAATCACCTTCCTTTTCGGTGAGTTATTATGCGGGCAGCACATTGGAAGGCATCTACTTTATTTTCTCACAGTAAAGATCTTACATTTTAGGCGATTAATTCTTCTGGCCGTTATATATGTTTTCAGTCCGTCGCGAATGTTAAAGGTCACTGTGATGGGCAGTTTTAAGAAAAGCTCATCTTGATTTTCCCCTTGGGGGAGGGAGTTCTTTGGCACTCATATAAAACGCAAGCGCTTCCAGGCGTCAAACGTTCCAGGGGAACGTTCCCTAAGTTGATGCACGCACCCAAGTCTACATTTTCAATAACTAGAGTGATGACGATGCTGGTGTCAGTGACTAGGTTGGTCAGATCTATTATTCCTTTCCTTTGTTCAAGACACAACACCCGTAGCGCATAAGGAGGGTACGTCCGAAGGAGAGAGGGTTAACTTTGCAGCAGAAAGGGGCTAAGTGGCAGGCAGTGAAGACGGGGCAGTGCCAAGTTACAATATAGAGTTTATGCAGCAAGAATGTGAGAACTTAGAATGTAGTTATCAGATGCATTTATTTCGACGGGTATTTAAGTGATGAGTACTGGTCTCCTCTCCTAGACCAGTACAAATCTTTCTGGTCATTGAAGTTAGTTATAAAGTGTAATCAGTTAGAGGGTCTTCTCCGCGGCTTTTAGCCTAGGCTCCTCCTAGGCCAAAGAGTTATGTAAAAAATTCTCCAGTGCCTTTTACAGATAATTAGAGCAAGAAGGGAATTGAGTTAAGTCATAACTGCAACATCCTGTGCTGTAGGGGGCTATTGTCAGATGCTTTAAACTCAGTCATCATCTTCACAAGGAAGTGGGTGTGATTATGGTCGCTGTCCAGCTGATCATCATCACCACCCCCACTGCCCGCTGGTGGTAGAGGAGTCTGAAAGGGTCGGTGGAGGCCAAAGGAGAACCGTGTTAGGAAGTTGGAAGCAAATGCAAGGGTGTTGAGGGGACAAGATCAGAGGCATGTTATTTATTTATTTATTTTTAAAATCATTTTATTAGGGGTTCATACAACTCCCATCACAATCCATACACAC